TATATATAAATGACTTTGATAAGGAAAGCGTATGTACTGTAGCCAAGTTTATGGATGACACAAAGAGTCTGCAGAGGGACATAGGCAGGTTAAGCAAGTGGACAAAACCTTGTCAGATGGAATATAATGCTGGAAGATATGAGGCAATGCACATGGGCAGGAGGAATTTTGAGTCCCTTACCTAATGAAAGATATACTGGCATTGAAAGTAATTGAGAGAAGGTTCACTTAGCCGATACCAGGTATTTAGGCACCTTTTCATGAGAAGTTTGTGTCTGCAGTCCTTGGAATTTGGAAGAATGAGTGGCGATCTTATTGAGCCATGCAAGGTTCTTAAGGAACTTGACTGGTTAGATGCAGAAAGGTTGTTTCCCCTTGTGGGAGAGTCTAGGGCCGGAGGGCATAAACTCAGAATAAGAGATTGTACATTTAAGAGAGAGATGAGGAGGAATTTCTTCTCTCAGTGAATAGTGAATCTGTGAAATTCTTTGCTGCAGAAACTGTCAAGACTGGGTCCATACGTATATTCAAGGCTGAGATAGACAGATTTTTAATCAGGAAGGGAATCAAAGTTTGTGGAGAAAAGGGAGGAAACTGGAGTTGAAGATTAGGGTGGCACAGTGGCTTAATGTTTAGCGCTGCCACCTCACAAGCCAGGGACACAGGTTCAATTCCACTCACAGGTGACCATCTGTGTAGAGTTCACGTATTCTCCCCCTGTCTGTATGGGTCTCCTGCCACAAGCCAAAGATGTGTAGGCTAGGTGGATTAACCATGGGAAATGCAGGGTTACAGGGATGGGGTGGATCTGGGTCGGATGCTCTTCAGAGGGTTGGAGTGGACTTGGTGGGCCAAATGGCCTGCTTTCACACTGTAGGGATTCTATTTTACAATTATCAGATCAGCTGAATGATGGCGCAGACCCGATGGGCTCAATAGCCTACTCCTACATTGTATGGTCTTACATTGCCCCAGTTATCTTTGTACAGATCTCTTCTCCTGTTCATCTGCACAAAGGCAGGAAGCAGCAGGAGCAAGACGATCTCAGATCGAATGGGCAACTTCATGTCTTCAGAACATATTAGGTTGCAGCTAGATTTTATAGCTTTTCAGAAACAGTGAAAGATCACTTTGTTTTGTCGTAGAATTTTAAGACACTCATCTCTGTTTTCAAATCCTTCCATGACTTTGCCCTGCCCCTATCTCAGCAACCTCCTCCAGTCCCATAATCCTCTGAGGTCTCTGTGCTCCTTACATTCTGGCACCTGCCTTGTTTACATTGCTCCCCCATTGACAGCCACGGTTTAAGTTATTGAATTCTCTCCCAAAACTTTTCCTTCTTTTCCTCCTCCCTTAAGATCTTTTTTTTTATTTTCAAAAACTATCTCCTTTTTCAAAGTTTTGTTTTTCTGTCTTCATATCTCCTGCAGTTGCTCTTGCCAATTTCTGCTTGATAATGCTACAGTCAAATGCCTTGGCTGGTTCAGCTATGGTGAAGGCGCCATCAAAATGTAGATTGGTGTTGTTGCCGGCATTGAGAATTGTGACATGCCCCTGAGGTGGAGGGAAACCTGTTGTTTTTGTTGAAAGTTTCAGTTGTCCAGGTACAGTTGTGTTTTATTCTCTGAGTGCAGTTAGGGAGTATGATTTAGGATTAAAATGGCCACTTCAGACAGCACTGCCGTTTTACAACCTAATATCACTTTCTCCAGAATTAAAAGTGACATCAATCACTGTGTATCCATTTCTTGAAAATCACCATATCTTCCTCCCTCCGTACAGTTATTGACTTATAAAAATCCCAGGATCCTTGTCCCACAGGTAAAAAACACACACGACAGAATCCCGTTATTAAGAGTGTAAGAAATGGGAACAGGAGTCATCTGTTAAACCCCTCAAGCTTGCTCCACCATTCAATGGGATCATAACTGACTCGACTGACATTTCTCATGTTCACGTTCCTGCCCTTTCTCCATAACCGTTGATTCCCCTACTGGTGAAGAATCTATCTATGTCAGACTTAAATATACACAATGACTCTGCCCCCACAGCTTTCTGTGGCAAGGAGTTCCAAAGACTCACAACCATCTGAGAGAAAAAATTCCTCCTCATCTCAGTCTTAAATTGGTGCCCCTTTATTCTGAGATGATGCCCTGAGGTCTTATACTCTCCCATGAAGGGAAACTTCCCCTCTGTATTAACCCTGTAAAGCCCCTTAGGAATCCAAAGTACTTCAATGGGATCACCTCTCATTCTTCTAAATTTCAATGAGCAGAGTCCCAAACTATTTAGTCTTTGCTCATAAGACAATCTCTTCATATTGGGGATCATCCCAGTGAACTTTCTCTGAACTGCCTCCAATGAAACTTAGTAAGTTTTGTTAATAAGGGGACCATTTCTAAAAAAAAACTACCACTGTGGGGTTTGGTTCGCTCAATTAGCTGGATGGCTGGCTTGCAATGAGGATAATACCAACATCACAGGTTCAACTCCTTGCACAAGCTGAGTCACCATGAAGGTCCTGCCTTCTCAGCCTCACCTAAGACATGGTGACCCTTAAGTTAAATCACCATCAGTCATCTTTCTCTCTCTGATGAGAGAGCAGCCCTCTGGGACTATGGCTAACTACTCTGACCAGATCTCATAGACTTGTTTGAAGATGGCTTAACTGTGACAGTTCCCTCCTTGTATTAAAGCCACTGGCAACACTCCTTACACAGAATTGATTATAATTGTGTCCTTCATGAATGGCGCCCATTGTCATTAGTTGAGATACTGCCAAATCCAAATTGACTTTTGACAATAGGCTCTACTTTTAACTGATTCATGCTTAGAGTTAAACCCCCAACTTGCAGCTGGACTGGATTCAGTTCAGTGTGTTTTTTGCCCCTGATGGGAGCGACATTGAAATCTTAAAATCATGTTGCACATGGGCTGCATCAGACATCTCTAATAACCAGAAATAATGTTTATTTTGTAAGTATTCACAGCTGTTCAGAATTTAATGGCATTGTGTATGCGAGCGACTGAAATCACCAAGTTGCCAAGAACAAGATGTGATTTGTAAAGTTGCACTCAGCTTCCAGTTTGATATGGAATGTGGATGGAAGTGCAAGGCAAAAGCGAATGCAGTCATGACTAGAACATGTATCGACATATTGTGACTCATCAGAAGACCCTAATTTATAACCACTGCATTTTTCCCCATTATGAAGCTTGGATTAAAATGCATTTTGTTCAATACCAGAAAAAAGCAATTAATAACACAATATCTTAATAATAATTTTAATACAAATTAACCATATTGACAGTTGAGGGACAGTAAAGAATATCAGGAAATGCAAGTGGTTGGGGTCACGTGTCATTCAAAGTTTTTGGCTGATTCTGACTGTGCTGAGATGGCTGTGATGAAATATCTTCAGCTTCAAAGCTTGATGTGTACAGGGAGCTGAGGATTGCACACTCTCCCACGAGAAACTCCAAATGTGCGTGAGTGTATGTGTGCAAATATGCGTATGTCTAAATGTATATGCTTATATGTCCTTGTGTGTATGTATGTATGAGTGCATAGCTATGGGTCTGGATATGTATGTATTTGCATTTGACTATGTCTATGTGTATGTGCAGAACAACGTATGCGTACATTTGTATACGTATGAATGTCTGCATACATGGATGTGTGTGTGTGTGAATGGCTGGATGTCTATGCAAGTGTTTATGTGTTTATGTGTGTGTACAGGCAGTCCCTGGGTTGCAAATGAATTTTGTTCCTGAGTTGGATCCCAAGTCAACTTGTGTGCAAGACAGAACACAATGCAGGACAATATAAAGCAGTCATTCATAAGTACAGGAATATTCATGTGTCAGGATTTAAAATTACACCCTTGCATGGGGTCACATTCTTAAGTATTAGCATTCACAAGTTGGACATTCATAAATCAGGGACTCCTGTATTTGTACATGTGTGTATATGTTTATATATATGTCAATGTGTGTGCTTTTGTATGTGTATAGGTGCATTTGTATGTGCGTGCATATGCTGTTTGTCTGTATATGTATGTGTTTGTCTATATCTGTGAGTGTATGTGTATATGTGTGTTTGCCCATGAATGCATATTTATATGTGTCTGTGGGTATTTATATTTGTCTGCATGTGTTTGTCCATATGTTCATGCATCTGTAAGTTTGTTTCTGTGTGTTTGCATGTGCATTCTTGTGTGGGTGTCTATGTTTGTGCTTGTATGTGCATTTATCTGTATGTATTGTTTGTGTTTGTGTATTATTTGTGTCTATGTATGCGTTTGTATATGTGTCTGCATGTGTTTGTCTATACATGTATGCATTTGTAAACCTGTCTATGCGTGTTTATATATGTATTTGTATGTGTGTGTCTGTGTGCTTTTGTGTATTGTGTCTATTTGTATGTGTACGTGTATATGTTTGTCTCTGTAAGTGTCTTTGTATATGTGTTTATATCTTTGCGTATTGTTTGTGTGTTTGTCTAATGTGCGTGTTTGTGTGTTTATGTGTCTATATTGCGTGTATTACACTAATACACTATATTTGTGTATAATGTACATGTCTATGTGTGTATCTGTCTACGTTTTTGTGTCTGTTTGTGTCTATATCTGTGTCTGTTTGTGTCTCTATGTGCGTGCCTGTATGTATCTATTTGTGCGTCCCTATGTGTATGTCTACATGAATCTCTATGTGTCTCCATGTGTTTATATGTGCGTCTGCGTGTTTGTGTGTCTATGTTTCTATATATGTGTGCCTGTGTATCTCTGTGTTTGTGTGTATGTGTGTCTGTGCGTGTTTCTCCCAATTCTGTGGAAAAAGGCAGTTCTAACTCCAGATCCTCTTTGAGCCTGACGTCATGTCTGCTTGAGATTGGATGGTAGGACTGTGACTCGAACATCCCTCCCCTTCCCCCCCAAAAAAAAACTTTTTAAAGACTTTCAATCTGTTCAAACTAAGATATTTTACAACCATCGCGATACCATCTAACATCTGCTCCAGAGTGTGTGTGTATGTGTGTGTGTGAGTGAATGTGTTTCTCTCTTATTTATTTGTGCTGTTTCCCTTTCAGCTATATTTTTCTTAATTTGTAAAATTATCTGTTGCTGGAGCCATCTGGCAACCAGCGATTTTGTTTTGTTCTATATATAAAGATAATATATATTTATATATATAACAAGCCGCCTTTAGAAATCCACCGAGAGAAGGGGGCCAGTTCACTCTGTTAAAAGGCACTGCAGAGGAATACGTTTTGACTGGAGCGGAGTCCTCTTTCTTAAGGAACAAGCTTTTATCAACATGGAGTGGGTGAGGTACAGCGTTTTGCTGTGGCTGCTCTCGGTCTTTCAGCCGCACCAAGTCTGTCCTGAGAAGAGGAATCTCAGGAGGATCACTTACGTGCTTCACTCGGGCAAGCGTCACCCGGCGAGCGGCCGGGCTAGTGTGTCTGCTTTCGGCACCAGGCACGGCGCTTCCTCCTCTTACACAGCCAGGGCGCAGGGCTCGGCTCCAGTACTGGAGGTGAAAACCACTTACAGGAGGAGCTCGCCTCAGGTCAGGACCCGGCGGATGGGCAAGGCGAGCCCGCAAGTCCAGCAGCAGATCGCTCAGTTCCATCCACACCAGTACTACCAGCAACAGTCCATTAGACACCCTGTGCACTACCAAAAACAACAGCTTAACGGGTAAGGAGATCTCCCTTGAACTTTGCGCCAGATCATTGCTGGCTGTATCCCTCCCCATGACCTTCTAGCCCATTTCTGGATATCACTTAAGAGTCTCACCCACATAACATCACCAAAGAAATATTTCTATTTGACACCTCCTAATATTTCAGTTTATTCCCCTTCAAGATAAATAGGATGAGTTTATACCCTTTATAATATCAAGCACTTCCAATATCATTTTATTTTGTTTATCTGTACAATATAACTAATGATTGTCTTTATTATTTACAATATGCTAGGTAGCAAGAAGGTACCTGCCATGAAACTTTAAAACAGAAACAAAATTCACTTAAGGACAGCGGTGTGCTGTAATGCAGGGAAGATCCTGACAGCAGTGAAGTTGCAAAAACTCCTGAATTACTTTCTTCCTGTTTAAAAAAAAGTGATTCCAGCTTGAATCCATGCCCGCAGCTCTCTGCACACAGCAGGGGACTCAGGTGACTATGGTGCTGTCTGCCATGCGTAGGAAACGTTTTCTCATGGGTACCAAACCATCGCTAATGTTTGCACATAAACCCTGAGAACACGATCTCTTTGAAAAAGAGAGAGGAGGCACCTTCATTCCAAGAAGGGGCCCATTGTTATTCTGGGCAATATTTCCTTTGTGGCTGGGTAGAAGCTTTTGACAGGTTGTATTTTACTGCTAAGAATCTTGACCCTAGGAATTTATTTTATTCCATCACAGGATGTCAGCTGTGCCAGCAGTCACTGACCATTCTTGACTGCCCTTCAAGAAGGTGGTGGTGATCTGCCTTGTTGAACTGCCGTAGTTCTTGTGATGTAGGTGCACCTACTAGTGCTGCTAGTGAGTCAAACTTCCAAGATTTGATACAGGTTTTGATACAATGAAGAATATAATTCCATGTTAGACTGATCTGTGGCTTGAGGGGGAATTTGCGGGTGTTCCCATGTTCCGCTGTCCTTGTTCTTCGAGGGAGGGGGAGGCTACGAGTTTGGAAGGTGCTGTCAAAGGAGGCTTGGCGAGTTGTTTACGAGAGAGAAATCTTGAGCTTGGGTTTTATATCACTGAGAAGCTGGGACTGAAGTTATTGTTTGCCAAGCTTGGGTCAACTCTCGTTCCAACTGATCAACTGTAGCTAAGCAGAGTCAGCACTGAACTCCTGTTTCACTGGTGATAAATGGCTTCCCCCACTCCCTTAAAACACAGAAACAGTTTCCTGTCAATATTTTAATAGAATCTTAGCAAACTTTGGAACAAATGTTCATGAGTGTGTTTGTTTTAAAACTGGAAACTGTTTTTCATTTTCTTCTTTCGCTAACTTTGACAGTTGAGTGCAGGTATTGAACAGATGAGCAGACAGTTTTTTTTTACAGGATAGCTTGATGGATAGTTTACAGTCGGATAAATATTTTATTGGTCTACATCTTTCTCTTCTCTCCAGTAAATGTGTCATTTTATGATTTGCAGAGTTAATGTTTGTGGCGGTCAGTGCTGTCATGGATGGGCCCAAGCTCCTGGCTCTCAAAGATGCACCAAGCGTAAGTGATCCGTATTGCATGACAAAACGTCCTTCTCGTGCTGGCAAGTTGAGCTTTGTTCGGAGATCTTAAATCTGGAGAATCACCAGACGATAGTGATATCGGCACCAAATCACCCCGTGAGCTGTCGTGACAGGCCATGTCACCCTGCTGTTGGTTTCCACCAGTCAATTATCCCCTGTCATTCCCTTCCCTGCCTCAGCTGATGGAACCCCAAACCATTGCTGAAAATTTCATTGCTTTCGCTAGACCTGACTATTTCAATACACTGCTGGCCAGCTACCCATTGTTCCTCCTTCCGATATTTAACCTCATCCCACAGGATGTGAGCTTCACTGCCTGGGTTAGTGTTTATTGCATGTCCCTTTCTGAAGATCGTGGTGAGCTGCCCTCTTGAACTGCTGCAGTCCTTGAGGAATAGGGATGTTCACAGCACTGGTAGGGAAGGAGTTCCAGGATTTTGACCCATCAACAGTTAAGGAATGGCAATGTAGTCCCAGTCAGGAAGGTGCGTAGCTTGGAGGGGCACTTGCAGAAGTGGTATTCCCTTATACCTGCGGCTGTGGTCTTTCTGGTTGGTAGAGGTTGTGAGTTTGGAAGGTACTGTCCAAAGGGACTTTGTGAGTTGCTGCAGTGCATCTTGTTGGTGATATGCACGTTATTGCCACTGTGTATCAGTGCTGGAGGGAGTGAATGCTAAAGATAATGGATGGGTTGCCAAACCAACAGGCAGCTTTGTCTCTTCTTCAGCATTGCTTGTCCAGGTAAGTGGAGATATTTCAAAACACTATTGACTTGTTTCTTGTAGATGGTAGCCATGCATTAGGGAGTGAAGCTTTGCATTAATCTCAGAGTTCCTAGCTTCTACTTTGTGGCCACAGCATAGTTTTAGCCAATATCTACCCACGTCTTAATTTATATCAAATTCCATTCACCCATCATCTTTGTGTTTGCTAACTCACTTTGACTTCCACTTAGATTTGAAATCCTCATTCAAGACTTCAAATATCTCAATGGCCTTACCCCTCCTTATCTGTGTAACCCTCTGACATACCTAGGCTTCTCTAATTCTGGCCACTTGAGCACTCCCAACTTTCATTGATGCTGGTGCAGAAGGTGCCTGGGGCTTACATTCTGGAATTCCCTTCCTAAACCTCTTTGCCTCCCTAGCTTGCCTTCCTCCTTTAAGACACTTCTTTGAAACCTCCCTCCTTGACCATGTCTTTGCTCTTGTGACAGGATATCATCTGCATCAAATGTTGTTTGGTAAAAGTGTGATGAAGTGGCTTTGGAGGTTTACAATCCTAAATTGTCATGTAAATGCAACTTGTAGTAATGGCAACAGACCCAGACTCCCTAGGTGGTACATAATTGAGGCGATGTTGGGGTAAAGCCACCATACTTGAATGGTGGAGGAGGGTTGCAGGGTGCGGTCAGGGGAGGGTGGTCAGCAGCAGGGCAGGGAATGAATCTCACAAAAGGACCCCCCATCATCCCAATGCAAGGTCCTTCGCTCCGGAACTGAGTCTCTTTAAACAACATACCCTCCTCCAGGGAGCCTCATGCTCCCCACAATGGGCTTCTTGTCGTGTTGCCTGCATTGAAAACTCCTGTCCACTCCTGGACTAATTCCAGCAGTAGTGGGGTGAGACCCTTAAAGGGGGCATTAATTGCCCCCTTAATGGTGTCTGTTGGTGGCAGGGTGGGAAGGCTTCCAGAGGACTTCCTGTCATGTAACTTAGCAGTGCGGAAATGGGAATGTGACAAAGTTCTCACCTGATTAAGTGCCCCACCCAGGCCAACATACTGACCACAGAAGGGGGCATTAACCCGCCCTTTGTCACCATCTGAACAAAAGTAACAGCCTCAGGCTCCAAAGTGCCCCTCCTTACATTCTTCTGCCACACTTGGCCCCTGTATCAGTGTTGCTGTACTCGAGCCCAGACGCTGCCAGTTGCTTTGTGAAATGCCAAAGGGCATGACTTTCAGGTTCCAGAAGGAGAAGGGAGGTCACGTTCACTCAGCAAGACGCTGGCTGATCAAAAGTGATAGGAACCTGCGTGTGGAATTAATTCACCATGCAAATGCAACGGTGTAAAACTAATATTGAAAACTGAAACCTAATGGGTTGGAGAGGGGAAGCTGGGACGTTGCCTCTGTCTATGAATCGTGTGTTTCTTGGAAAAGAGGCCTGCTTCCAGGTGGGGAGCAGTTGAAACTGCAGCTGCAATGGGCTGTCTCCTTCCCACACGTGAAATAGCAGGCGCTGCACCTCCCGTTTATCAATGGAATGACAAGTGAACAAAAAGCATTGAGAAGGGTTGCTGCATGCGGTCTGTGAGCTTGTCAATGACACCCTCTCCCCAACCCCCCCCCCAACCCCAACCCCAACCCCACCACCATCATATCCCGAACTCAAGAGTGCAGCAGTGAAAGTTTTCTGAATCTTTAAACTGGTGTGATGGAAATCACATTCACACATCCATTCTCCTATTCTGTAATCCTGTGGAGATCACTGGGTGCTGCTTTCATTCTAATGTTTCTTTTCCATTGAACGCCCACATTTGTCATGTTGGACATTACATGGGGGGATGATTTTAATCTAAGCTGTTGGCAGAATGATGACATTGGATGCAATGCTGGTTCTACAGTCCCCACACTCTCTGGTTGAGGTCTCAGGAATAATTATCGGGTCAATTGTAACATTGGTGTGACTCCCTAAAACTCCCAGCCCTTTACATGTAGTTACCCAGTAACAATCTACAGGTTTTGTGAACTAAGGGTTCCGATCCTGATGATTCTACTGTGTACAATGGCTCACAAAGCCTTCACTAATGGGGCAAATTGGTTTGATTCATTCCTGAGGTGAGAGGGCATCTCCGGGTCGGTCCCAATGACGTTTCCACCTGTCAGCACTGACAGATGAAACATTGTGGGGAGGGTGAGCCCACTGTACCTCAAAGTGCACTCCCAGTGAATGAGACTCCCTGGCAGGAGCTGACCTGTGTAAAATTAACCTGTTATTATAGTCACAGTTCAAATTGTTATCAATAATGAATATTGTGTTTAAGATGAGGGCTGAACTAAGGGAATTAGAAGATGTAGCAGTAAAATAACAACGTACTTAACTAGTAAATGATATTATTGTATGTGTGGCTTCTTTAGATGCTCAAATGACATGAAAGAGGTTAAATAAATGCATGTTCCTCTGTCTCTGACTTTGTCCCTCTCTATATGTCTCCATGTTTCAATATATTTCTCTCTTTTGGTCAATCTCTGCTTCTCTGTCTCTTTTTGTTCGTATGTCTCTCTCACAGGCTATGTTAATCTCTCTCTGTCCCCCTCTGACTCCAATTCTTTGTTTCTTGTCTGTTTCATTCTCTGTGTCTGTGTGCACGTCTCTTTCTTTGTCACTATGTCTGACAATGTCTCTGTCAATCTTTGACTCAACTCTTTGTTTACAATATCAATAATTTTCCCAGCAAAAACAGTGGTTTCAAATTAAAATATGCCCAACATAAAGGCTTAGCTAACAGATAGAACGATTCCTACAGGTTAAATTCCTCAAACTAAGATCACCATAAATTGCTTAGATGGCAACAAAATTCCTTTAATCTATTGTGCTGGAGCAGTGAAGGTAAAAAGATTCCTTATTGACTCCCTTGCTTAGTAATGTCTGCTGGGTCCAAAGTTCACTATTATTGTGCCATTTTATTGCAGAAAATTGGTGCAATGCTGAAAGATTTAAGAGTGTGTTTGCCTCACATCTAATTTGCACAGGCCACCTCAATAAGCTTGTGGCCTCATTTCAGTGCTGAAATGAGGGTCCTGCCCCTATTTCCTGGAAATTCATTTAAACTAGTCAGAGCTTGCACTGCTCAAGCTGCAACTAGTCTTTCATGTTGTACAATGGTCTAAGTACTGATCATTAAAGAGACTGCTGGATGGAGGGTACGTTTTTTTGACTTACTGTGGAGCCAGGAGTGCCCTTCCTGTCTTCATGCTACTGGCCTTTGCTGACTCTGCTGAAGACTGCAAATTTTGTGGCCTTAACACTCCCAACTCCCAAATAAGTTTGTGGGCTGACCCTGACAAATTTCCCAGGCGCAGGTCATTAAACACTGTAAGGAGCCCGGTGTCTCGTGCAGCTCCCTGGATTTAATCCAGTGGGGCCTGAGTTTGCATTTAGGCCCACACTTGAGCCTCCATCTTCTGCCCTGTGAGATGGGGCTGCTGTATTTTTAAGCCACCTTTATCAGGTACTTTTCAAGTTTTATCAACACCGAATGTGGTTGAGCCCTCACCTTGTGTGACTGAGAGCACTGCAAGTGACATTAGTTCCAGGTGTTAGCAGTCTTTTTTTATACCCTGCCCAGTTTTAATTGCGAAACGAGCTGCCAATTTACTGTCACCTATTTTGTGCAGACCAACTTCACCTTCACCTCCCCACCCTGTGGGGTAGATCATACATTTGTGTGCATACTGTTGCCATGACAAGTCTTTGAATGTAATAGGTGTTTCTTTCTAATTAATAAATCATGTTTTTATTCTCAAATAACAACTGGGTAACTTTACAGGATAAAAATCAAAAGATTTAATTGTTAGCCAGCTGTACATTTTCAAAACGCTGTTGTGCTCATGGCTGAACTTCAAGGGAATACACAACCTTTAAGCCCTGGACAATTGTTTTATAAATAGCAGATAGCTAAATGATAGAAAACAGGAGCGTGAATTAAGTTACCACTAGGTGGCGTTCTTAGTGAGTAATTCAGGAACTCGAAGAAATAATGACGACTCTTCTGATGAGGTGGTGACTTTGTGATGATATGCCAGTCACAGAGGAAAGAAGTGAACATTTTTTACAAAGCAATAAATTTGCTTAATGTAAAGAGGTTTAATTTACTATGTCCGAGTGACCTGAAGGTAAAATGAATACAGGTAAAGAATGCAATATTCCATAAGTCAGGCTTGAAAAGCTGCAGACAATACCTCTATTTGTC